CCGTTATGGCAATTGCAAAGTCTCAATTGACTCCCTCCCCAGGGATTAATAGTATTCCAACACCCACGCGGCCTTTGCCTGGCCCCCGTGGTCTATATGATGATACATAAGAACAATAGGTTTGGTACTAACAACAACAACAACAAAGAGCCTCCCCTAACCGTCAATAGTAGCAACAAGAAAAAGAAATGTCCGTTGCCAGACGGGTGTCAGTCTATTGTGTGTCATCAGGTCATATATGCTTTTTTGGGTATCTTGTGGGAAAAAAAAAAGTCAAACTCCCGCGCCATTGTCTGTCGACCGTTGATACAAGTATGCTTGATGTAAATACAGTTCCCCTTACTTTTTGATAGCCTTCTCCTCGGTGTCACGGTTCGATCTTGCTCGGGCAGCGTCTGATTCTTCGACACCGGACCCACGCTCCCTGCCTCGATCGCTTGACAGGCCGCGTGAGAGGAAACCTCGAAGCACGTTGGGTCTGGAAGTCCGCTCCGTGACGTCCTGCAACGACCAAGGCATCAGCTTGGGCTCCTGCTTGGCGATCTTGCAGAACAGCGTAGAGAATATGAACTCTTCTCCTTGTCCATTAAACAAGGGGAGATGTCGATAGCCTTTCTGCAGGCTGTCGAGTTTGGCTGTGAAGGCCGCAAGCTGTTTGACCCCTTTGCCCGTGTGTCTTCCGTCATCCGAATTTAGGACGATGAATCGAACAAAAACAAGTTCAGGGTATTTGGTCTCGAGGGAAAGTTCGATGTTTTCCCCAAATTGAGGGTTATACCCATTGCCGAACCGAATTTGCGTCTGTCTTCGATAGGGCGATCCAATGCCGTGATAGCCGTTCGAGTAGGTCTCGGTGCCACCAGTGCCGTTGGCTATCCCCCGAGCTCGGTCCTCTGCGCTGAACATTTGCACTTCAATAAACGGGTTCAATGGGGTATCTTTGCCCATGTTTGCCGCTCGAGGCAACTGTTGAGCCGAAATCACTTGGACGGAGAATCTGATCTTATAGCGGGGCAGCTTGACCCGATGCTCGAAATCTCCGTGCTTGGTCCGAGGCTTTCTGAGATAGTCGGGCTTCAACACATAGCCATACGCGTCTGTACCGGCGGCAAACATGGCCTGGTTCATCTGCATATGAGCGTCGAAGGTCTGCCAGTTCAAGGCGACCATTTGGACCCCCCTCCGCCAGAAGGTGTTGGGATCAAAATTGGAGGACTGGAAGCGCAGAGTCTTGGGGTAAACACGGCACAGGTGGTGGAGATTGTGGTCTTCGAACAGAGATTTGTGCTCCGTAGAACGACAGAGCTCGATGGCTCTGTTTTCGTTGAGCGAGAATATATGGTTGTATTGTTGGAAACGAAGGTCCTTAGCATCGCGGAGCGTATAGCCTTTCATATATACGCCGAGAGCAGACAAATGAGAGCCCACCTTGCTCAGCTTTGGGACACGCCGCTGACTTTCAATGGTCGAAGGTGAGTTCGGTGCAACATCGCTTTCCTCATCGGCACTGCTTCCGCTTGTTGCCGTGACCGATCGGTCGGTGGGTGAATAAATGGTCTCTGGAGGCGTAACCAATGCGGGACTCGAGACATAGGGTACTTTTGCTGGGAGCACCCAGTTTGTCGGTTGGGCTCCGAGTCTGTTCGGAGAACTTGCGCTCCGATCTCGATTCACAGGGGCAGGACGCCGCGACGCTGCAAGGTCCGCGTGAAGCTCTGTGGACTTCACTTTGATGAGTATCTTGTACTTGAGATCTTCTGGAGAAGGCAGCTGTGCCGTAAAGCCAGGCAGAGGGTAAAGAAGAAGGCGCTCCCCAAACACGTCACACATGATCTGCACCATTCTGGCTTGTTGTTCGGCATCACAGTGAACTTCCAGGGAAATGATCACCGGGTACGGAGTGACATCGAACGCGCATCGTTGGATGGCATTGACACAGTCCGAGAAAAGTACCGAACTTGTGCGAGTACGACCGTGGGTCACTCTCGGGTGGCCATCTTGACCGTTCCAGCAGTCAATTTCAACGCAGCGACATCCGTGTCGCAAGGCAGTGATGTAGGTTTCCGCTGAAGCGGTGCCTCCCACTTGCCAACCGGTCAGATACGTGTTGTGGGAGCTTGAAATGAAATATTCCCCAAGAGGTCGATCAAAGTTGGGAGCCGAAGCTTCGGGCTTGGTATAGACATGGCAGTCCTTGGAGACAATGAAAGATGCAAAAGCGTTGGCGTCAATGAGACCGGATCTTTGCATGACTGGATCATCCGAAAACGACATGGCTATCAAGTCGTTGATCTTCTCCTCCCAGACATCAGACTCGGACAGGGAATCGATATGAATCCCTTGATGACGCTTAAGGAAGGCAATGAACTGAGACCTCGTAACGCCCCTGGAATCGTCACCCCTCAGTTCGTCGAAGATCTTCCTGATATCGCTTCTTTCTCGAAGACGTCTGAGGAATTCCCGGAATTGAGGGTAGTCTAAGAGTTCCGACTTGTTGACGTCGACAAAATGAAAATGTTCCTCCAACTCCCTCTCGGGAATGTGGATGTGGAGTTTACGGCAAAGCACCTGTATGGATGGGAGGTCAAGACCGTCGGCTTTGGCGATGTTGTGTTTGGCCGTCCGCTTTGCCATTTCATTGTCCCAGTGAGCTCGAACGACCGATTCGCGTTCAGTAGATCCGACCATGCTCGTCATCAGCTCCTCTCGATGCTTCGCCAGGCTTTCCAAGGTCTCGACCCATAGTCGAAGATCCTGGCGATTGCGAGCAACGAGATGCAATGACTTGACCTGCTTGGCCGAATCCGACGTGGTATAGTTGATGGTGAAGCACAGCTCCGGGTCGACGGCTTCACCACGGAGCTGCGACTGGTAACTGGCAGCTTCCTCGCCACTCCGGATGCTCTTGATGTTGTCAATATGAAAGACTTTGGTTGTCACCGCACCCTTCCACGAGACACGGGAACCCTCGACGTCCATGTAGAATAGTTTCTCTTGTTTTTTGTTCTTGGTGATCTTGGTCAATAAGCAGCCCGCCACCAGATGCTCCGGGACGCACGGCGCTTGGCCCTCGGGACTCGTGTCTATCAATGTGGTGGGCTCGCTGGAAATGCTCATTGTGTCACCAGCGTAGAGTCCCAAGCCCGTCTGCAGATCCAGGGGCAAGGGATCCAAAGACGGCGACTCCACAGTGTAAACACTCGTAATGGCATTCTTGCTGTCACTGCGACGTCTGGTGATTGGCCCAGTGCTTCCGTCACGCCGGGAGTGGGCGGACGATGAGGCCTTCCTCCGCAGAGTCTGTCGAGCTGAGGACACGCCATCTTTGGCACTTTGGGAGAGCTTGCGCATGATTCCAACCTTGGAGCCTGCCGAGGGTTCCTTGGGGGGAGAAAACACATGAGGGGAGACGAGGCTCTCGCCGAGCTCAAATGGCACGGGGTTTCCGAGGTGAGGTAATTGGTAGATGGGATGTGACACCAATGGAGAAGATTGGATCGAGCTGATATAGGGGCTCTGGGTCATGGAGGATGTGCTGTTGGCGGAGACTGGAGTGACCGAGGAGGAGGGATGAAGAGTCGTATTCACCCGCTGGTATGAGGGCATGCGAGCCAGAGAACGCGGATGAGGCGACGGGGAGTTGTCGCGGCTCCGCAACGCCCTGGCGGAGGGCGAGGGCGAGGGCGTAGCAGAGATCATGGCGCAGAAAGCCAGATGGTAAAGGGTATGGGAGGTTCTTTTCGACTAAGCTCAGGTTCGAGAGTGACGACGTAGGGGAGTCCAGCTCTGTCTATAGCGTTTCGACGGCTTCATTATGCTGATTTTCGCGGTGGGAGATCCGGATCAACGCCCCCGAGCTTGTAGAGAACTTAGCGTCGCATGCAGCATCCAGTAACCCCTAGGCAAAGGCCATGTGGGCGCAGGCCTGATGGTGGTGTAGGGCACTCTCCGAATTTGTGTTGGTGCAGCTGCAATGCAGGCCAGGGTTCAGATGCAAGTACAATGCGTTGCCGTCTGGTGGCAGTGTCAGATCGGGGTGGGTGCGCAAGGCGTCGAGAGGGTTGACGCTGGCCTTGCCGGCTCGGAGCTGCGTGGAAGGCTTGCAGGGTGTTTGTCGCAGGCGCAGCTGGCGCGACGCGGTGGTCGAGGAGATGAGAATGCACCCGGTGACAGCGCCGAAGGACGCAGTCAGATACCGGTCAGCTCGGGGGGACAAGAAGGCTTCAGAAGGTATAGCGGAAGAAGGGTGTCGAGGAGAAGACTGGTGAGTTGGTCTTCTTGTGAAGTTCGCAAGGGGGGTGGGTTGGGAAGTACTGGGTATGCAGAGGACCTCGAACAAAGGAAAGGACGAAGCAGATGTAACAACCAGCAGATCTGCTCCTAATTGGGGACGATACAGCAGTAATTAAATTATCTTGTGCACAGCACAGGAGGAGGAGAAGTGGCCAGTGGTGTCCGTTGGGAGGAGCAATGAGTCAAGGGAGTGTATGGGACGGTCGTGTTTGCGAGGCCAAATGCGAGAGAGGGAAAAAGGATAGGGCGGAGAAATGAGGATAAAATGAGGACTTGGGATATGCACGAATGATGAATTTAGGTAGTGTGCGGGTGCCGGGTGTGGGAGTCTGGGAGATGCGAGTGGATCTCAGCTAGTATGCTACTGTACCTACCTTGTACTAGGTTAGGCGGTGGTGGCCGTGGGATATGATATGGCACCATGAGCCACAAGCCATGGGACAACGGTCAGGGAAGGTTCAGGGCGTTCCCACGTTTCCTGTTCCTCGACAGGGCTCCCCCCCTTTTGACCAAGTCTAGGCCGAAGGGGGGGGTTGGGCGACGGGGTGTGGCTCGGGAGTTGTACGAGGGTGTAATTGACGTGGTAAAGATTGGTAATATAATCATGGGAAGGGTGCCGTCATAATGACAAGTCGGTACCTGATGAGGTACTGGGTACTGGATACTGAGGATCTGGCCCTCAGCTGTATTCGGTACCTTCACAGCATTGTTCCATTTTTCCAGGTTCTATTTCCAGGCACGACGACTCCTTTGTATTCCTGGCACCTCGCCCAGGGTGACCTACATTCCCTCCCTCGAGCAACTTGAATTAAGCTATTCTAGCCGCCAGAAAAAGAGAGGGAAAAGATTTCTTTGTGATGCGGCACCGCGGCCCCCTTGCTCCCTTGCTCCCTTGGTCCATGACTCTGGACTCTGGGCTCCTCCATACCACCCAGCCCTAGCACCAGGGCACCCAACGCAAAAAAGCCCCCAGCACTTACAGGCTTCTTCTTCTTCTTCTCGCTCTCTTCTGGCTTTTTCTTCGCCTCCACTTCTCGCTTGGCTAAACTCGGTAGGAAAAGTTGGCGGAGCCGACGGTTGACAGGGGCAAACAGCTCTCACAGCCAACTCTCTTCCCTTCCCCTCCTTCTGCCTCTTCCCCTCCCGGTTTTTCACCTTTTTTTTTCCCCCCTTTCGGCAACCCATGCAATCGCACCTTTCCCCCCCCCCTGATCCCAGAAAAAAAGAAAATGCCCAGCCAACTACCACTACAACAAAGGGCACTACATACGAGGTTCTGCCACTACGTACATACTTTGGCCACGGCTCCCTCACGCCCTTGTCTGCGATGTTTCCATCGTTGTTCTGCCCTTGCCCTTGTCCTCCCCCTGTCTCCTCCGTCCTCGCTTCTTGGACTGTTTTTCGCCTCGAGGATTCATCTGTTGCCATCGCCCATCACGACAGAATCTTCCACTCATTTTTGGTTCTGGGCTCTAGCCAATGCGTTTGCGCCCATGTCCGTCCATTCCTTCCATTCCCCTTTTTCTTTTCCACTCCCACCTCACTCTCTGCTTACCCAGGTCGATAACTCTCCACAGCCTCCGGTTCCGTCCGTCACATTGTACAAGGGCAGTAAATTGTGGTCCAAAATACACGGGCAATTGCCTCGTAACGAGTCCATTGTACGTCCCATGTAGTCAGGTCGGACGGAGATACCACTTGGTAAGGGGCACGTGCAAATTGACGATGGGATGCCCCATGGTCAATTCAGCTGACGGCATGAGCTTCGTCTGCAACAGCGCTCTCTGGGTCAGGCAGATTCCTCGCACAATACGTAGACGGGAGACAGAGCACATCAAAAAGCCTCGCCTCACCACTCCGCGCTGACCTGTTCTGCTGCACAGGACCAAATCTGGTCGTTCGATGTGTCCGCTGACGATGCAGCCCTCCACATTCCAGCGCGCCGACACGAGCTCATGAACCTGCAAAAGAACCAGCCCTTACGCATTCAAGAATCGCGCATCTGCAACCCGCCTGTCGCATCGTGCCGACCAGCTGCGGCTTAGGTCGCTCGCTGCTAAAACCCTTTGGACCGAACTCGATCATGAATGCACGAGTTGACATGCATAGAATGGCGATTTCTGCACCGCGCCAGATACGTGGCAGATGCCATCTCCAATCTTTCTCGATCCTCCGCTGCAGCTGCGAGTCAACGGTCGCAAACCCCCACTCTGAGGACCACCGCTTGGACCAGACTGCAATCTGGTGTTCACCGTGCTTACCATCTAGAATCTTGTCCCGTGCCAGTTGTTGTGTACGCACACGCATCCTCCGTCTAGCCTAGACTCCCTCGACCTGCACAGGGTGAGAGCCGATGCGATGAGAGAAAGGCTTGTGGTCTGACGCAAGAGTATTCCTTCTCTTAAACCCTCTGGTAGAGGCGCTGACCCTGTCTGACGAGAGCGCCTCGCCTTCGATGGCACTTCAGCGCGTTTGCCCCATGAAGAAAGCGGAGTCCTTCGCTGGCATTTGGTGGCATTGCACGGTGCAGAGTCGATTATGCTGTGCTCCGTAGAAGTTGGGTAGTTCGCCTGCAGGTCATATGCACAGCCGATCTAACATGGAAACAGCGGTTGTAGGATGTCGATGGGAGCTCTCTGGGACCGCTTCCCGTTCGATTTTATTTGTGGGCGTAGTCTGCGTGGTTAATGCTCAGTTTAGGGTTGACGTGAACTGATGTCAGACTCGGATACTTTGACGGGTGGATGGCAGAGTGAAAAGCCACTTGAAATGACAGGTATTGCGTATCAAAGAACCGACCCGTTGGGCCTCACTAGCCCACACTAGGCAACCAGCTTCCGTCCGGCACAGCTTGGACAAGCCAACTGTCTGATTTTCCCCCCCTTCATCGACACTGCCTCACCAAGTCAAGTCCACAAGCCCGCAACGCCCACATATCCACGAGTCCACAAATCCGGCTGCTGGTCGACCCAAGCTACCTGTCCCGTACTGGGTACTATATTCCTTCACTGCAACAACGGCAGGTCCTAATCCTGTCCACGTCGCTCTCGGCCCCCCGATGATTGTCTGTCGGGCGTGAACAAGAGTCAGGGTGCACACCGTCCTCTCCGCCTTGGCGGGGCGCGCAAACGAGGTACCGAGATGAAATGGAGACAATAGAAGCCGGCAAATGCACAGGCGCCTGTATGCAACCAAAGGCGGACCATGTACATGCCTCGTGCCAGGGCTGCTGACCCTGCCCCCCAGAGAGCCAGCCCAGTCATTTCGGGCGCGAATATTGGGTACAGCGGTACAGCTCTGTGTCCGGCGCTGATTATTGATCTATACTTGTCCTCTTCACCCTGGGCCTTGTTAGCCTCCCTTCTCCGCAACGCCGGGAAGGAGAACGAAGAGACCGACCTGTGCCTGTTTCAGAAAAGCACAAGAGGTGCCGCCAGGCCGATAACCGGATCGAGGTGGATCGAATTGACGTCGTGTTCCCTCGCTTGTCGGGTAGGTCGGGCGCCCTCACTGGCCGGGCGATAAGACGAGAGCAGGACCTCCTGATGGGCAGACGCACCCCGGATTTGGCCACGCCTCCATCACATCATTGTCTTGCGCACCCAACGCCATGAAGCCTCGGCCGGGACAGGGTACCTTGTCCCAGCTGCCCTCTGACGTGGGGGGATGCCTGGACCAGACCTGACGCGCTGACTAGAATACCCATTGGCTCTCCACGCGCCCCGTTTGACCTCAATTGGTTGGGTACCACCGCCGTGAACCAAAAGCCTTTCTTTTCAGCTCGCTGCCGCCCAGGTATTAGCACCAATACACGGCAGCGAAGCTTCGACGGCTTCCTCCATTTTTCTTCTGGACCTCGCTTCCGCGCTCCGGCCGTTTCAACTTGCACGTTGATGGAAATAGGCGTTCCGCTCAGTGTCAAATCGGGCGCGGTCAGCATCGTCTCCCAGTTTTGCGACGTGACAAGAGGCTGGAGTGCTCTTCCATCCGCAAACCGCCCCTGTCGATTTGCGAAAGGCAGTCTTCGCTGTCACACCGCCCCCGAGGTGCATCTTCCGCTCGTTGGATGTCCTGCCATTTTCTATTCGTCAATCCTTTTGCAAATCGTTTCGCTGGGCATAATTACACAATCCGTCACGAGATCAGCAAGGTCAGTTAGTCTATCATTCCAAGGACTTTCCTTCCTTTTCAGACGAATCAGAGAACGAGACAATGGCAAATAATCCTTTGTCGGCATTGCATACATCATTTTGGGAACGGGATTCGCCATTATGCGTTGGCAAGCCCTCTTTTTTTCTGTCGCGTCGGTGCATGCGTTCCCCCCACTCGTAAGCGCCGTGGGATGTATACTGGATTTAGTTCACGTTGGTCCTCTACAAAGCAACACATCCCTAGCAGCTCGCGTACCAAATTGTGGAGATGTCCAGGATTCCTTCGGAAATGACTATTTTGCAGTGAATGCACTCGTGACCTTCAAAGGCGACCATCAATTCCTGGTTTAGAATTGACACGTCACAGTCAGCAGCAGCAGGTTGGTTGAAACATTCTGAAAAGGGGCAAATTTCCGGCCAGACCCAGGCGATTCACGCAGTCAAGAATCTCAAGGGGGAAAGTACTACGCGCTGGTGACAGACAGGCAGGCCCCGGATGACAACCACCTATCAGGGACAATTCGTACAAGGTACGTGCTTGGAGTCGGATCGAAGCTACTCGGTCTCCACCTCGTCTCTTTGTTATTTCTCTGCCTGTCTCCCCTTTCTCGAACATACGAATAGCGCTCCGGATTATCCGACCTTGTGGGGCTGAAGATTCCAAGTCATGATGATGCCCTCGATGATACTTTTTGGTTCCCTGGAACTTTTTGAGTAAGTTTGTATGTGTGTGACGACGTCAAAGCTTACGCTTTGCGCGATTGCGCCATTCCCGTCCTCTTTTCTGCCTCTTGAGCAAATTCATTGGTGTCACCAAGCTAGGGCGTCCCGTGAACTGACATACAACCGTCCGTCTTCCTCTGCCTCGAAAAGACTTGGCATTGCTGGATGTTGCGTCTATCAAACCTAGAAGTGCGAAGTTTCAGACCGGTCCTAGTATGTTAGGTCGCTGCGAACGAAAATTGCGTCTCCGTGGCACGCAGACTCGCAACACACCCCAAAATTCAGCTTTGAGACACTGGTGCAAGGACACCGTATCCATTTACTACCTAAGAGGTATATCGCAGGGAGATAGAAACTCCGGCAGCTCCAGGGATAATCCTTCATCTGCAACCAGCACTACAGGTTATGTGATATGAAGCGGCCCATATTCCAATCCTCATCACCTGATTGATAACAGAGCTTTGGTCAGGGTCTTGTCTTTGGGATGATCGGGGTCTCCAAACTTCGCCAAAACTTGAAACACCAGAAATTTGGTCGTCTGCGGAGAATTTCAGCCCCCTTACCGAACTTGCCAAATCTTTTGCAATCTCAACTCCAAGATAAGGTTATCCTCGGACGGCGATCGCTGTGCCAAAGGGGCCCGTCGCTTCTTTGGCATTCACTGCAGGACGAGCTCAATTTCAGAACCCCACAGCAAGGACGAGTGCAGCCTTCCTAGCCGAACAGGGACTCTTGCAAAAAATAGAGTCGATCCAGTGCCCTTTGATGGCGGAACGAGCAGGATGGCGAGGAAGCGCAGCCTGAAACTGGCTGAAAGGTAACCTACACCGAGTTTAGTGCTCCTTGCGATGAGCAAAAATACATGCAATTCGCGTCAGAATCCCGGTCAAAGACGTGACGCTGCCTTTTGGTCTGTTACCAAGGTTTGACACTGTATTGATCAGTTACGGCGGACACAGCTATCAAGGTTGTATCCTGGCCGCTCAGAAATTGTTGCCATCCCTCGCAAGGATAACTCGAGCTGTCGTGATACCCTATCTTTCAGTCGCCGTTCATTACGATTTGCACTGAGACTGATCGTCCACCCTGAAGACCCTCACAGAGCATCGTTGGTGGGATCAACTCCTGCATCAAGCTTGAATGAGAGGCAAGACATGATTTTTTTTTTCATCCTCCAGTCCTCCCATTGGAATGGATGAGCACGGCGTTGCGAAAGTCCCACTGTGAGCTTTGTCCTGCTCACTGCCCGGAGCATGTGTTTGCTCTTCTCTGATTCCCAACTGTCCGCCAGTCAAGGAGCTCACTCGGGACACATGTCTCTTGTTGAGTTTATCCGCAACAGAGGGGGGAACACTTTATCGTGTTATGATTCCTCGTCCTCCCCATCTCTTCTCCTCGTCCCGAACAGTGAATTGAGTTTTTGAGTCTACATCTTCCGGAAGGGGCCCATCCAATAGCTATCCACTCCGATTCTTATATGCGTCGACGCAGGTCCGGCTACGCTATGCGCCATGCTCTGACTGCTCCAGTTCGGGAAGGCCGTTTCCCTCCGATTCGAACAGTCTGCTCATTCATGCACGTACTTGCTTGGATGCATACACGCATATGTACGTGTACGTACGTCCATGCGAGGCCAAAATTCTATTTGACGCGTAAGTTTTTTTTTTTCTCCTTCCTGTTCTATTTACTGTTCAGCCGATCTCCTGTGTTGTCGAGGCGTGGCTATGGACCTACTTGTACCTTCCGAACTGGTCAACCGCGCACAGTTGCTCAGCTGGAACTGCAACGGTGGAGAGCCGTGGCTATGGACCTAATGTGCCCAGTACCTCCGAACTGGAATGCCGTGTCCGGCTCACAGTGGAACAGCTATGGTAGGTTGAACACCCGAGGGCATGCAGGTATGCATGCGTGGATGCAATCATTAAATGCATTCAGCACGACCCGGCAGTTCTCACGCTTGAATCAACATCTGAGCGAGTGGATGACTGAACAGGTCTGAGCCCGATACAATGAGAGCGTACGGAGCCCTCATTGTACCTAAAGAAGGTAAAGGGGGTCCCATGGGCAGAGATACTCCCGTACATACATCGATCTAGCACGATGGTACCGCCTTATCGACACTTGGACGGTGTTTCTCATGTCGTCAGGACAACATACATATCCAACTTGTCCTCGGCCTGCGAGCACATCCAAGTAAAGCAATGAACGTACTCTGTAACAAGGACATCTTTTGACTCGCGGCAATCACTCTCAATCACGATCCTGTCAGGTCTATTCAAAGCTGCGGAACCTCGTGATCTGGTCCTCATCATACATATACGCCTTGCCGAAAGTCGATGACCATTTCTTACTACATGCCAGTGCGAGAACGTTGACATTGCTCGACAAGCTCACCCTCACTTAGGTAGGTACAGTCCTACTCTGACTTTGAAATCGTATGCAGGACTCAACACTCCTGTCAGTCCCACGACGTCCTCCTCGTAGCAGTGCTCATCACATCAAAATGGTCCGCTAACTGTCGGCAATGCGCCTCCTTTTCCTGGCCGTTCCTGTTCCTGATGCCGCAGGTGTACTCGGAGCGGCTCCTTCATCGTCCTTCTCGACACTCTCAGAGTGTCTGAGGCTCGGGTTTGCGCTGATCACGACGCTCGCACTCGCACTCCCATATCCACCGCTACTCCCCTGTGCTGGGGCTTGAATTGCCGACTTTGACACGAACGGAAGTGGAGTAGTTGCTGTGTGATCAATCTCTGTGCTCAACCCAGCGCCCACGTTTCCAAGTCTCTCAACTTCAAGCTCTTTCCACTTCCTAACCGTGGTCATCACGTCCTCAAACATCTCTCGTGTATCAGAGATTATGCCACCCTCCTCGCCAGAGCTGCCTCCGTCTGATTCTTCGCTCTCTGCCGCTCCTGCATCGCCATCTCTTTCCTCCACCTCTTTAAAGGGGAGAGCGACGTCCCCGCCTCCTTTCCTTAGGCGCAGAGAGCGGCCGAACCCTCGCTCTGAGCTGGGTAAAGGGTTGAACATGACTGCGTTTGCAAACACACGGACAAGCTCCATCTCGAGCTGCGACGAGTTCACTATCCCTTTGGGAGGGACGAGGTCTTCTGTTGCTCTCAGGATGTAGACGCCATTTCCCAGTGCCCGTTCCCCCCCTACCGAGTTCACATCCGATGCTATAGTCGGTGTTGTTGTCACAGCTGCAGTAGCACCGCTCTTAGAGGCCTGTTCACCATCTCCCTCGTTTCCTCCTGCAGATTTACTTCCTGTTCTCTCTTCAAACGCCTCAATCGCTGCCAAGGCTGCCTTCCCGCCTTTCGTTACAGCCGCCTTGATGCTCTTCAGATCCTGAGGTTTCAACACGAGATCTTTATATCCCGGTGCATCGCGCTCGGAAAGTGGCTTGGCAAAGATGCTCGCGAGTTTGTGAGAGACAATCTCATTCAGCAAGAGCAGAGCTGTTTTCGCGAAGTTCTTGGACACATTAATGAGTGAGGGATCGTGTGACAGTGAAAGAGAAATTTGGCGGCGCACAGATGGTTGAGCGTGTAAAGGTGCCGTGGTAGCGGCTGCTGGGGATGGTAACTGTGCCGGAAGTGAAGCCGGGGGAGTTGTAGAGTCGCGGTCAACTGAACGTTTGCGTTTATTTGAAGCGGTGATTGGTTGTATCAGATCGGTTTTAGAGGTTGCAGTACTTGTTCGAGGTCTTCCACGTCGACTGCTGGTCCTGTGGGTTTGCGGCTCTGTATCCGATGGTATCGGAGCGGGAGTGCTGGGTTCGGCTTTGATCTTTTGAGCCTGTCCACCCTTCTTGCGCTTATCTGTGGGCGTATCTGACGTAAATGAAGCAAGGGACTGTGATCGTGACCCGGCAAATGCGCTCGGGGTTGCGCTTGTTGCTTGTCGGCCTCTAGCTGGTTGTGCGACTTCTCGCGCGGATATGCTGCTTTCCTCGCCCTTTCCATCTGTCTTGCCGGGAGATTTTCTGCCCCTTGTTGTCCGAGTTGGTGATTCTGTGTCCGTAAGCGGACTAACCTCACGCTCTGGCCGAGTTGGACTAGGTGGTCGAACACCACTCGATAGTTGAGAACGTTTCTTCCACGGAGTTGACGATCTCCCCCTTTGCGGTGATTGCCGCGAGTCGCTTCTAGAAGCCGGTGTCACGTTCGCAGCACTGGGATAGCCATAGTATGGTTGACCGGGTTGTGGTGAGGGCCATATTTGAGGATGGGGAGGCTGCCCTTGGTAGTGAATGGGAGCGCCTTGAGGATATGGAGCATATCCTGGATGATGTGGAGTTGAATATGGTATTGCAGGCCGCCCAGTCGGCGATTGAATGTAATATGGCGGGTTGGAGTATGGCGGAGGCTGAGGGTATTGAGGAGGCATATGGGGCCAGGGAGGTTGTTGAAGATACCCAGCATATCCCGGATATGGTTGCTGAGGCTGCTGCATTGGAACGGGCGAGCCTCTCCCTTGGCCAGAGGCCGAAGCTCCGCGTTTCTGAGGAGGAAATTCTGCAGGGGGAGGCATGTGAGGGGCTCCCGCATATTGCGGTAATACCGGTACAGGTTGACCCTGAGGACCAGGTTGAAAGTGCTGTGGGTTGATAGCGCCATAATGTGGTCGTTGAGGCGAAGGGACCGGAAGAGTACGGTGAAACGCTCCTGGCGACTGCTGCGGAGGGTGTGCCGAAGGTGGTTGCGACGGTCTCAGCGGAGCAGGTTCTACTGACACTTTTGGAGCAATGATGGGTGTTGTGGGCGCGGGAGAACGAGCAGCTGCCACAGGTTGCTGTATGCTGCTGCGAATGGATGCAGGCGAGGCCTCTGCATCTGCTGCTGGAGTGCTTGTCGCACTCGACGCGATCTGCTCGGTTCTCTGGGTCTCGAGACTAGTAGGCAGCGCAGCGGTTGCGGCATCAGTACTGCTCTGAACTGCTGGCGGCTTAGGGGTGGTCTCTGCAGTCGCGTTCAACGGTTGAACATGCGCCTTGTTCGCTCCTTCAGTCTCGGTTTGCCGCTTCTTATTATCCTCTTCAGCCTTCTCCAGCTCCTCGATTTCAGCCTGCAATCTGAGATACTCTTCCTCTTCCTGGTGAATTTCTTTTATGGTGTTCTCCCTAAAGCGCGCATAGAGCTTGTCCACCAGTGCTTGGAGTAGTCTCTGTTCATCTCTGTCGTCGTCTTCGGCCGGAGCTGGGGTGGGAGCTGGCGAGGTGGATAGCTTCCGCTTTCGCGGATTTGTGCCATTTGGTCCGCTGTCGCCATTCACCGCAGGAGGAGCCTGGGCACTTTTCTCTTCAACCAGGAGCTCATGGTATAGTGCTTGCAGCGCTGCGGCAGTCAAGCGAGACTCATCGTACGTTTCGCTCTCTCGAATCAGATGGTTGGCATTCAAGGCGGTCGAGATGCCCTCAAAGGCAGCGCTATTAGAACCATGATGGACGACAGACTGGCAAAATGCGAGTGTCTCATAAGGCGTATAGGCTTTTAATGAAGGCATCCCATCGTCGCGGTCATTAGGTGTAAAAGTCGCTCTGGCTGGAGATGCGACCGAGCCCAAGCGTGCCCCTTTTGGGAAGTGAAACCACGAGCCTAGAGGGATCAAAACCCCAGAGACGCGTCTATGGACGATCGTGGGCGCGAGAGGCACAAGGAGAGTGGTGGTGGAGATGAGAGGGAGGAAAATGCGGTGACACGAAATGAAAACTGCTAGGTAAGTGCTTCAGCTGTTGAAATTTGCAAAATTGTTTGATGCGACCACACGCTACCGAGCGCAGACGGACGCTACAGTGCACGGCGCACCCCATCAGGGAGCGGAACTTAAGCAGGTCATTCAACTGGTGCTCGGTGGTGCTAGTCTAGCCGAACGTTCTTGTTCTTGTTCTTTTCGGAGCCCAGAGTTCCCAGCAGTGGCCCAGCAGTTTTAGGCGGCGGCGGCCAATTGCTGGGGCTAAGGGGGCTGGAGACCGGGGATCGGCATGCCCCAATCATGGTGAGAAAGCCTAAGGCTTCTAGGTGCTCGGTAGTCCGTGCGCCCTAAACTCTCCCAGTACTGCCCAGTTCTCCAGGGACCATCTGGCACCGAAGCTGGGACCATCTCGACCGGTGAACCCCTTCTTGCCCCTTTTGCTAAGATGCTGGGCGCGACAATCTCGTCAAAGGATGCGGTCTGCCCTTGGTCTGCCTCAGATGGCAGACAGGCAATCACGACCGCTACTTCTCCATCGCACCTGGGCAGACGGCACCAACCAGTCTGCCTGAGGCTCAGTGCTGTGCTTGTTCCTCAAGGCATCGTCCACTTGACCTCGATCAAGTGATTCATTCATTCATTCATTTCATCTGCTGCTGCCTGTACGACTCAGAACCCATTCTTCTTGCAAATACATCAATATCTCAACATCTCTCGCTTTTTCGCCCTTCGTTGTCCTCCTTGCCGCCATCTCACACGATAGAACACACAACTTTCCTGTACAATGAGCACATCCAACGAAGCCAACCCCGACGCAGGCTGGCAACCCAACGGGCGGCCCCAATCGTAAGCTTCAACCACCCCGGCCTCGGTCCATCGAGCCATCAGGCAGACAATGGTCTCCAGAGGTCTCCCGAGATGCTAACGAGAAAACACCTGTTTAGAACAATCGCCCTCGACTTCTCTGCTGCCCTCGATGATCTTTTCAAGCTCAACGGTATCGGCGCATTGGAGGAATCTGTGGTTCAGAAGTACGCCATATCCCTGTTCTCTTCCCCTGCCCTTGTTCGCCGATCAAAGCTGACAGCGACGTCTTGGAATGCAGACAAGACACAGTCCTCTCCCAACAATATGAACTCGAGACACTAGAGACCAAACTGCGTGAAGCAGATGAAAAGCTGAAACGACTCGAGGCAAAACACAGACGGCAGCAGAGCCAAATGATCACCAAGAGGAAACCGTTCAATGCGGAAGACAATGAAACAGAAGAAGACAGCTCTGGCGACAGTGACGAGCAAGGGAGATCTCCTTCGTCACAGCGAGCAGATGGGACAGGATGAGATATTACAAGAACGTGGCGGCCGGTTCCTGATTGCTCACTCATGCTGCCTCCCGGTGTTGGTACATCAATGATGGATGGAATCGTACCTTGTTTGGCTTTGGTATTGCAAGCATGCCCCTTTTGTGTTATGATGCATTGGGTAGAGTTCAGGCTGTTTGGCGTTTGGGATACAATCAGGCCCCTCTCGGCCTAGAGAAAGCGAAGGCGCTGCCTTCGTTGGATGCATCTTTAGAGAGTACTCCATCGCTCTAATCCTAATGGAACGGCGACGAGGTTCGCTTCTCACAGTTTTGCTCTTCGCCAACGGGACCTTGGCGACGCGTGATGTGTGTGCCTTTCTCTGGTGTCTCAACGACTTGGTTGGCCGTGGTTTTTAAGATGATTACTGTCGAAATTAGCTGAACAGAACTGGAGAAGCGTTCGCAACCAGGAGTCGGAAGCATCTCGCACTGCGGTTCCGAGCTGGAGACGCAGAAGGATAAAATCCACATTGATGCACACGCCCACGTCACGTACGTATACCGACAGTGTGAGGAGACCTCAGCAGAGAAAGCTGATTGGTTTCACCAAAGCGAACCCGAATCCGAGCCCGAATCCGAACCCGAGCCGGGGAGGATTATTATGAGAAGCAGCATGGACGGTCTACAGACTTGTTTATGCAATACTCCTGATTCCTCGTAAACGCATGTTTGGAGTACGTGCATTCTTCACACAAGACCCTCCGCCAAGCACGAAATCGTTCGGCTCCATTGCCCATTCAGATATAGATATAGATCCAGAGAGACAAAGTCCCGAGATATAGTACCTCCCTAGGTTTGGGGCAGGCAAGCTCGATATCCGGTACGCCAATTCCATATCCGGGGGGCTGGATTAATCAGATAATTAAACATACCCTGTACAGAATAACGTGTACGGCGTCCAATCCGGGCGATTCCGGCCAAGGGAATTTCGCTTTTTGAACGGGTCTAAGTTACATGTGAAGAGGGAGAGCCATCCTCGGTCGTGCCTAGGAGAAAGCAGAAGACTTAAGAGCCGGGGATCCCACTCTACAGAAGCAGACGGGGAGGGGAAAGACAGCTTCGCCGCGAGTGTGCCAGTGTTGTCCTTGAAAGCGGAGTATATAGATCAGGTTGTTGCCCAGGTGTCCTGCCTCAACGTTGCCAGACACGGGTACATTTGATCGTTGACTCGAAATCACCAGGTCCACTCGAGAGTCCTTCCCAATCATCCGTGGGAAAAATTCATACAATGGCGACGACAATGAAAGCCGTCGTGATCCACGAGGCAGGCGGGCCCGAAGTTCTCAAGATCGAACAACTTCCAATCCCGAACCCTCAGCAGGACGAGGTGCTCATCCACGTCAAGGCCTTCGGTCTCAACCGATCGGAACTCTTCACTCGCCAGGGATACAGTCCCAGCGTCAAATTTCCCCGCGTGTTGGGGATAGAGGCGGCCGGGGTTGTTGAAAAGTGCCCCAGCGGCAGATTTAAGATCGGACAAAAGGTTGCCACTGCGATGGGAGGCATGGGTCGCGACTTCAATGGCGGATATGCCGAGTACACCTGCGTCAAGGCGGACAACACGCAAGGGCTCGACACAGATCTGGATTGGACGATCGTGGGCGCCGTGCCGGAAATGCTGCAGACGAGTTATGGGTGTCTATTCAAAGCCCTCAAACTTAGGAGCGAGGATCGTCTGCTCATTCGCGGCGGCACGACGTCCGTTGGGTTGGCGGCGGCGGCCATTGCGAAGAACCATGGCTGCTTTGTTGCAGGTACCACAAGGAATGCTGCAAAAGCCACGGCTGAACTGATGCACAAGAGTGGAGTTGATCAGGTCATTATCGATGATGGCCAAGTCGCTGAGCAGGTCAAGGACAAGAAGTTTGACAAGGTCTTGGAATTAGTAGGGACATCCACTCTGAAGGATTCCTTGCGGTGTGCGGTCGCAGGTGGGATTGTGTGTATGGCGGGCATTGTTGGTAAGTAATGAACAATCTCCGGTTTGGTTGAATCAAACTGATGATCATCTCGCAGGAAATAGCTGGACCATGAAGGACGTCTCTCCGATGGAGCTAATTCCGCATACCGTCTGCCTGACAGTTTATTCTGGTGGTCCAGCTGAGTTCAAAGAGACTCCTCTCAACGACTTGCTCAAGCAGATCGAGGCAGGGACCTTGCCAGTCCAGATCGGAAAAGTGTTCAAGTTGGATGACATCGTCGAAGCACATGATACCATGGAGAAGAATCTCGCTCGTGGCAAAATTGTGATCTTGACAGGGTAAGCAGAGGCAAGCAGTGCGGAATTCCTTGTGATGTTTGGTCTGAGGACACTGAGCAACGACGTTGATAGTGGGAGATAACCTACCATATTGCGGTTCATCAATGGATGGCTTCAATTGCATTTGTGCCTCTCTCAGGGGTTGAGGAAACGAGGCGAGAAGACCCGTTGCAGATATTCACTGCGTTCTTTAGCGACATGGACTCGCTGCTTTAGGTTCCAGTCACGAGGGCAGCCCTGCGGCGCATCTTCTCTCGTTTCTTTGCGCCGCTCATCGGCTTCCGAGGACGTGCAGCTCTCTTTGTCCTGGGTTTTCCTGTATTCCACGTTTGCCACACATCTAGACAGGTTCTTTGGCCGATGTATTTGCCATCTGGCGTGAAGATCTCGACTTCAGGGAAACTCGAAGACTGTGTCGAGTCGTCTTTTGTTTGGATTGTCCCGAAAGGAGCAAAGGTGGTTGTGCCAATCGAAAGGCCTTGAGCCGTGGGTACGCCCGATTCTGTACCGCTTGATGCAGTAAAATCTTCTGCAGGAGGCTCAGACTGATGTACGCGTTTGCTTTTCCTGACCTGACAAACCAGCTCCACCCAGCCGATTCCTTCAATGAGGATATCGGTCGCGTAGACGTGGAATGGCAACTTCTCAGCGCTGACCCCAGCTCTAATCATGGAGCCGGCTCTAGATTTTGTGACATCAGTCCGCAACTTGAATCGACCGGCAGAAGACATGTGAGTCCCTGCCCCATCCGCAAGGATTGATTCCACCCCGCTTTCGCGCTCTTGTATTTGCGTGCCCGACGCCTTCTCCGTAGACGTAACGTGGCTTTTGAGCGGAACAAAGGGATACGCCAGCATGGTAATACTCCGGTCGTTTTCATCAAGGAGTGGCGTAATGCGGACTAGTCCTCCTCCTAGGAGCAGAGATTGACCAGGCTTAATAATGTGCTGGGTGACAATCGGGCGGTGTGTCATCACCAGGTCAGCTTTGTCCTCGGACTTGACATATTGTTCAAGACCCCCGCGCTCCAGACCCGGCATATCAATAAGCTCTCCCTTATGGTTGCCAAAGGGAAGTCGGATTGGAGATGCTGTCGTGCCTGCTAGGCTAGATACCAAAGGCATGGGCGGGAAAGGAACTTCCGGCTGAGGAGGGGGCAACAACTTCTTTTCAGAGAAGAAGGTGGGATCGGTAGATCTATGTGCGGATTCGATCTCCTGCTGTCGTTGAATCTCTGCATACACAGGCGCTCTGTCGCGTGAGCCCTTGGGGAAAAGGACCTCAAAGAGATTGGATTTCCCGACATTGAACTTCCCCACGAGCCAATTACCGCCACCTCTGTGCCAAATGCTTTCTTTGATGTCCTTCGTCCACCATCCTCGCTTAGACGATACTAGATGGACATTGCCCAGTCTGAGCTTTTGTCCCATGCGACCCATGGCAGTCCTCAGTATGGCGATAAACTTGGGCATCATACTGTCCACCATCTCCTTGCTTGGAGCTAGTAGATCGGACCTGGTGATGATGAAAGACACAGAGGGCCGGGAAGAAAACGAATGTTGAGACCTACGATTCTGCGTTCGGGGTCTCGCTAGCGACAAATTCTTGTAGATCGACGGTATGAGGGACATGGGAAAATCTGCAGCATCAAGGACGAGGTAGACATGGTTTTTGGCGAAAGGAGATTCGGCGATCGAGTCTGCGATCGCTTCGATGGAAGGATGTGCAATCGGGGCACCACGAGAGTCATGGATCAAATAATGACATCTATCGCAGACAGGAGGTGTGATTGGGAGCTCGGGCTGAATTATTGCATGTCCATTCTGTTGGCTTTCTTCATCTTGTGAACCTTGCAAGGGTCGGATAAGTGCCTCATCTTTGCCCAGATGCCCTTCGTTTGGCTGTCGACGCGCGCCCTCGACGCTTCTCAGGTATTTCACCACCGCTTTTCTCGACAATGAATAGAAGCCCGCCTGTCCAAGATCAACATCTTGGGTGAGTGCGCCACAGCCAGGACAGGATACGGGAAGGTGTGTGGGGTTGAGATTTTCCTTTTCAGCACGCAAACTCGGGGATAAAGGGGGTTGTCTTAGATCCTGGAGAGGAACATTTGCCTGCAGCACAGGGCGAGGTAGGCATTCCGGACGAGGTCGCTCAAGCTCAGCTGCTGCACTGGACAGAAGACGGCGAGTAGAGGAGAGGGTGCGTCGGGTCTTGACCTGACGGCAGAAGAGGTGGGCGCAGGATTTGATGTTTGGCAAATAACAGGCTCGCCATCCCCGAGGTACAAACTCCATGTAAGAATCAGCGCATGCCGTTAAAGGCGGCGAAGATGCAGCGAAGATGGCGTGCTGATACGAGGTAGGAGACGAGCAGGAGGCTACACATTGACAGAAGGTTCATGTGTGTCTGTGAGAGAGAGAGAGAGAGAGAGAGAGAGAGAGAGACCAAGCGACGAGTACGGAGTTGCCGTCATGGAAAATTGCATCGGAATTTCGTCGTGTGTATCCGCGCGTCGGTCGATTCCGCAGCGCGCACTGCGGGCTAGTGAGGGCAGGAGAGCCGCGAAGGCTCGCCAGGCGCGCTGGGGCTCCCCACAGACTCGATGATTCCCATATCCGATGAGTAAAGTTCTGAGCAACCAAAACCACCACCACTACCACCAGCACCGCCACTGGTGATTATGGTGATGACTACAGTCCAATCCCATCATGGCACCAGTCATTATTCACACGACATACCATTACCTAAAATCTGTCATCACAAACACAGCCTCATTTGTCCTATCAACCAGCGCTGCCAGTCGCCCGAGACTTCTGTCATACACTATAATCCCAAACCAGACTGAGGGCATTGCCCATTGTCGACTAGTTAGGTAATTTCCCAGTGTAAATGGAATGGCACGCCGTGAAGCACTTGAAATCCTACAACAACAGGGGCACGGCGCGGCGCCACGTTCGTTGCTCGATACACCCAGCCTAGGTGCTGCCTATGTACCTAGGCAGGCAGTCGCAGAATCATCGTCATTGCGAGAACAACAAGGGGATCCTCGGCGAAGGACCCTACAATACTACTTTGGTTGTACACCGCCAATCAGCAACCATGACAAAAACGCGACGATTGACAGTTTGACCATAACGGACGATACTGGATGATGCTGCGTCTCAGCGCTACCCAACGAGAATACTGACCACGGTATTTCCGCGCTCTATTCCAACTACTACGGCCATGCACGAATAACGTTGAACATCTCACGTATGATCCCTTGCCTCTCCCGGGAATTCTGTGGGATAGAGAAATCACATCGTCAACAAGGGTCGCTACTGTATCTCCTCCACTTTTCCGCTTTTCCTCGGCCCTTTGTACAAGGCTCTTGTTCAGTACTACAAGGTTCCGGGTCAGCATCCTAAACAGCATCAGCCAGCAACATCTCATTCGTTATGCCAGCGTCTTTGCTTCAACATGACTCAGCTCCATGTTCCATTCCTGAGCCATACCAAATCAACGTGAAGATCACACCGACCGCTACCCTCTAGATGAAGCATGTAGAGCAAAGCTCATGCGAATCCCGCCTCCCGTCTCCCTTTCCGAGGAAGGCTGAGCACGGTGATCGGTGTGGAAAAGAGAAGAGCTTGTGGCCAGAGTGCCGCTGGAGAACACGAAATGGCAAGCAGAGGCGATCCTTTCATGCTCTTGGCCTCTCAAACTAATCATATGTCAGACGTAGCCAAGATTGCCCCTGCTCAGCCTACTGTGGTTGCAGATTCGACCATGGCCATGGCGAAACTCGGACCTCTTTTCCCAACGGATCTTGCTCTAGGACGGTTGTAAGGCATCCCTTTGCCTAGGGAAAAGTCCCGTCAGCTCTAATGGAATTAATCTCTTGAGATTTGGTTCGCCTTCCTAGGTCTGTCTATATAATGTCGTATATGGGAGCCGGGGGGTGCAGCCGTGTTCTTCTTGAACAAAAGCACACCGGCAGAGTGTACCTTCACCTTTTACACTGACCTCCACTTGTCCTCAGATAATCGCACAAGTCTCCACAGCCAAGATGGGCTCTTTGATGCCAGAGAAATTCGACTTTATTGTCGTTGGCGCCGGCGCTGCAGGAGCAGTCCTTGCAGCTCGCCTGGCAAACAGCAATCAACGCCCTTCGGTCCTTCTCGTCGAGGCTGGAGGCAAAAATGACTCCAAGGATGTTCGTGCCGATGCAGACAGGTGGCTTCACCGAATGGTCCCTTCTATGAACTGGGGCTACAAAACCGCACCAGTCAAAGGCTTCGACGGGAACATCGTTGACTACGATCGTGGCAAAGGGCTTGGGGGAAGCACCGCCATCAACTTCTCCGTATGGACCCTTGGCCCGAAGGACGACTATGACCAGGTGGCACGCCTTGTGGACGACGAAGAATGGAGCTGGAACAACGTTCAGAAGAGGTACAAACGGCTCGAGTCTTATCACGCAACTGCCCCGGATGTGCCAGATGATGTCAAGCGATACCTTGACCCTAGTCCAAAGGACCATGGATGCGATGGCCCCATCAAGGTTGGCTTCCCCAAGGTCTGGGAGCCTTCTTGCAAGACGTTGATGGATATTTGGTACGCCAACGGCACAAAACCTAATCCAGATCACAATTCCGGAGACCCCATTGGCCTTGCCGCGTGCATTTCGACTGCATACAAAGGAGTCCGATCGACATCCGCAGATGCGTTAGTGGGAGCGCCCAGTAACCTACACATCTTGGTCGACACTGAAGTGGCTCAAGTGACTTTTGGTGGTACGAAGGCTACCGGTATTAAAACTATCGAAGGGCAGTTCATCCAAGCCGACAAAGAAGTCATCTTGTCGGGTGGCGCTCTTGACACTCCAAGGATCTTAATGCATTCTGGCATAGGCCCCGTCGACGAGCTTAGCAGCTTCAACATTCCGATTGTCCAAGCCAATGAAAACGTCGGAAGGCACCTCAAGGATCACCACCATGTCATGATCCCAGCTCTCCGAGCCCACCACACGAGTGAAAGAACTCGATTCTACAAGAGCAAGGAGCTTCAAGCGGCAGCCCGAGCTGCGTGGGAGAAAGACGGTAGCGGGCCATTGTCAGAATATGCCTGCGCCTTGGGTATCGGATACCTGAAGCTGGAATCACTGTATGACACTCCAGAGTTCCAGGCTCTACCAAAAGAAGACCAGGATCATCTACGAAAGCCGACAGTTCCTCACTATGAGATCATCCTCAACGGGCCATGGCTTCCGAACTTCCTCGACCCAGAGAACGCACAAGCTGGAACAAAAGTATTTGTATTCACCCTCAATCAGAGGTCGACGGGGTCTGTCAGACTTCAGTCGTCTGATCCCAAGCAGCCCCTTATCTTCGACCCCAACTTCTTTTCCCATCATTTCGACAAACGAGTGGCTGTGGAGGCCACACGGGACGTCCTTAAGGTTATGAAGAGCCCAGAATTCCAAAAAGATACCCTGGCTATAGATGGCCCTAAGAGTGAGTCGGAGGATGATATCCTGGCTTTCTGGAGAGCGAACAGCAGTTCGACGTGGCACATGATGGGAACTGCTAGGATGGGCAAAGACGAAGGCAGCGCCGTGGTGGACAAGAACTTCAAGGTGTTTGGTGTGGAGAATCTCAGAGTGGCCGACATGAGCATCATCCCCGTCGTCTCCAAGTAAGTCACGCGACCGATGTTCGATATAAGACATACGCTAACAAGTCCCGACAGCAACCACACGCAGACGACGGCGTATCTCGCTGGGCTCACTGCGGCCGACAAGCTAGTTCAAGAATATGGGCTTGACGGCTAATGGGCTTTGGGTTTACACGACTCCGTTGCTTTTGAAGGGTTAGCGGGAGACCAATGCTTGGAAATGGACATCGGTATGTTGGCAAAAGAGAAGAAAGAAGTTAGACGTCGATGGATTTGAGACAATGTTATATGGCATGGCCGGCAACCTACGAAGGGAGCCAATACATACTTCTGGAAAGTTTTCTAGTGGGAATACTTGTGCTTGTAGGTACCGGGTACGGAAAGACAAGGCCGAAAATAGAATGCTGGCAGGCAAACCCCTTGGCTAGCTATAAAGGTTCGCTTGCAAGGCTCCGTAACTGCCCCCTGCACGGTATTGGTGTTTGGATGTGATGTAAACGTGCCCCCACCGAGCTCCCCAGGCTGTCTTCTTACTGGGCAGCGGCTCTACCGCGCCGTATGCAGGCCCCCAAACAAGCAATTTAGCCCCTGACTCTCGCGCGCCGATGACCCGAGGCTCCGGCGTCTCCAGGCCACAAGCCCCCCAAGCGCCCCCTGTCAGGTCCCAAAGCAGGTCCCAGGCGTTGCAGGGTCCCTTATTCTTGCGGTTGACTCCCTGCAACCTGCATCTGTTTCTGGGTGGCCTTGGCAAATTCCCCTCGCAAAACAGACCTTGACCGGTCAATGCCACCACCAGAACCACTTTTCCCTCTGGAAGCTCGCACCCACTTCGACTTCGGTCTGGTGGCGACGAGGTCTGCTCTCGTCTCGTTTCTTGTCGACCAGAGTCCCTCTTGGACGACGCTGATCGCGCCTGCCCTGCTCCCAGCAACATTGTTGGCGTCTGTGACGGGACAATATGCTGGGGCTCCTTCTCCTTCACTTCGACCATCAGTGCTGCGACACCATCCCAGGAGATTGATTGCTGGATTGCTGGATTGCTGGATTGCCCTGGCAAACCCGCCTTTGCATTTGCTTTCTAAGCGAATGAACACCGTGACCAAGGCACACTATACTGTACACCAAAGACGCAAACAGCTTGCCCTGCCGCATAAGCCCGCAGCTTCTGAGACATCGACTGCGGCGTCGGTGGACCGGATTCACTAACCCACTCTTATGAATACCTTGCTCGCCTCGCCCCATCACCGCGATCTGAGGCTCTGTCGCAATTCTACATGACGACAATGGCGTCCCTGCCATCATCTGCATCGCACGATCACCACCCTACCCGGCCTCGACCTCGCAACGTCCAGCTTACACGAAGTTCGAGCCATGATCAACCCAAGACCGCCGACCTCAATCGACCGCTGCCCCCTCCTCCAGTCACCGCAACTGCCGAGACATTCGAGATACCTACTCTGCGTCGAAAACCCCTCCCCGATTCCCCAGACTCGGGCGCCTCAAAGCTCAACCACACTCGCTCCTTCAGCCATCCCTTCCCGTCCATCTTCGGCTCCAAAAAGTCCGAGAAAAAGAACAAGAATGGTATCGATTTTGATGGGACGCGGGATACTCGACACGAGGAAGGAAACATGAGGCACCATGCCACTGAAGCCTCTTTGCCACGCGGTGACCGCCAGCCGGTAACAGGAAAGTGTATGACGTGCGATTCAACCGTCCGGTGGCCGCAAGGCCTGAAGGTGTTCCGATGTACGACCTGCCTGACCATTAATGATCTCGAGTACAACCCGGAGACCAGAGATGATGCACAGTCATCGGCCGCTGGCCCGTCGTCTCAGCGCAAGATCGTACCTCTGTCGGTCGAGAGGACGAGAGTCCTGCTTGATCGCTGTGTCAGGCAGTATCTCGAGTCTCGCATTGAGCTGGACGAGCCTTCTACGCCTGCTCATCCAATACCAATTGAGAACCACTCACCGGCCGAGGACTCGTTTCTATTAGACGGAACCCCGCCAGAAGGCGTCTTGTATGGACAGCTCAACGACGACCAGGACTCCCCACCCCCATCGCCACGTCCCGGCGCGAAACCACGAAGTCCGTCTGAGGAATCAAACCTGTCTCCTCGTTACCCTGTTCGACATGGTGGGCCACCCTTCGTTCAAGGCCACCCGGCTGATCCTTTCAACTCGTTCGCTTCGATGCATAGCAGGTCTCAAGACAAAGGACGACAATTATCAGAGCCTGGACAGCAGTCAACCACGTTGTCCGGCCTCAGATCTGACCTTTTCCGTCTGGTTGAAAATTATATTGCTGGTTGCTTTGTCGGATGTGCCACGTTGAATCAGTCTTTTCTCACCCCTAGACCCCCCCAAGAACCGAAACCCAGGTCGGGATCAGGGACGCAACAAAGGCGACAGTTGTCCGAACCAAATTCCGCTCCAGTATTCGAGCCTGACGTCTTCTTATCTGAGCTTGATGCTAAAACCCTTCTACTAGGCGACGTCGCAGAGAACGGGTCATGGTGGTTAGGCGCTCCAAGTGGGCGTGCACCTATGTCGGGCAAAGAACCTCATCATCACCGAGACAGGTCGCCAGAGAAGACTCGCAGTTCAGCAAGTGCGAGAAATCCTAGGATCAATTGGCTCGAGCTTGCTGAATGGTATCGGCTAGTGATCTATGCCGGCGATCTTTGGGAACAGCGGTGGCACGAACTCAGATCCAAGTTGTCAGCCTCTAAAGCACAGCAACGTTGGCATTCAATCCCTTTAGAGAGCATTCAGCGAGATATCATCGAGTCTCGAATACACCTGCAGCGGAGCTTATTGAAGATTACGGAGAACCTCTTAAAACGGCCCAGGCAACCATTGAAGCATCCCGAGGATTGCCGATTCCTGCTGATGCTTTTGGCTAACCCATTGTTGACCCCTGCGAGGCTTGAGACAGGCAAGATGTTTGGCGTAACAATACCTCATCCACCCATACCTGGGAGGAAACAGATTGACGATCGAACCTATGACTCCCCCTCAAAACGTGTTCCAAGCAGCGGTAAACGACCAGGAAGTCTCGGGCACCACTCGGGCATAATCAAGCGCATACTTGGCCTGGTGGCCAATCTTTCAAATGAAAACCATCAGTATCTAGTTTCATGGTTTTCTAGATACTCAGATGGCCATTTCCAAAGGACGGTGGAGATGGTGGGCAGTTTTGTGACTTACAGATTATCACGACAACAGAAAAATCCGGCTCACGAACTCATCAATCCCACAGAGGGGCTCGTTCCTAGCTTCTCCGACTCCGGAATGCACCATGCCTCTCAAATTCACGCTGCACTCGGAGGCAGAGCTTCTTCCAATTCCGCAGGCAACTCCGACGGAAAGCCCAAGTTGTCATCGTACGGTGAAGATTGGCAGATCCGTGTTGCCGCACGAGTCATGGCGTTGTTGTTTCATGCAAACGTGGGCCATACCGCTCGGAAGAGGGACGCGTTTGCAGCCCACGAGCAAAGGTTGCAGAGTCCAGGTCTCAACGCTAAGTACCATGCGTACTCTCACGGCCAGATAATACCAATCAGCAACTTCTACAATACGATGCTGGATTATGCAGACCTCGTGGCAGACTTCGAAACTTGGGAGACGACAAAGACAAAGTTTACTTTCTGCCAGTACCCCTTTTTTCTGAGCATATATGCCAAAATTCACATCCTCGAGCATGATGCTCGAAGACAGATGGAAATCAAAGCAAGAGAGGCCTTTTTTGACAGTATCCTCAGTCGCAAAGCTGTCAGTCAATACCTCATACTCAGAGTTCGGCGAGAATGCTTGGTCGAGGATAGTCTCCGTAGCGTTTCTGAGGTGGTCGGATCTGGAGGTAGTGATATCAAAAAGGGCCTGCGTATCGACTTTCAAGGAGAAGAAGGGGTTGATGCAGGCGGTCTCCGCAAGGAATGGTTCTTGCTGCTGGTGAGAGAAATATTCGATCCTCATCATGGATTGTTCGTCTATGACGACGATTCGCGTTATTGCTATTTCAACCCCTTTTGCTTCGAATCATCCGAGCAGTTCTTCTTGGTTGGGGTGTTGGTCGGACTCGCCATCTACAACTCGACCATTTTGGACGTGGCATTCCCCCCGTTCGTCTTCAAGAAAATGTTGGCTTCGGCGCCCTCAACCGGCGACAAGTTGTCGTCGATTCCCAAGGTCGGTCATGGGTTCACCTTGGAGGATCTCGCCGAATTCCGGCCTGCATTGGCGCGGGGTTTCAGGCAGCTGCTTGAATTCGAAGGTGATGTCGAAGAGACGTTCTGCCGCGACTTCGTGGCCGAAATGGACCGCTATGGTGATGTTATCCAGGTCCCGCTGTGTCCTGGCGGCGAGAGACGAGCAGTGACCAACTCGAATCGGAGAGAATTTGTCGACCTCTACATTCATTATCTACTCGACACAGCTGTGGCAAGACAGTACGAGCCCTTCAAACGTGGTTTCTTCACTGTCTGTGGGGGGAATGCACTGTCCCTGTTTCGACCCGAAGAGATTGAACTTCTCGTACGAGGCTCTGACGAGCCACTGGACATTGCTAGTTTGCGGGCGGTGGCGACCTATGAAGGCTGGCCCAAGCAGGAAGGACCGCCCGAACAGCAGCCCCAAGTTGTCTGGTTTTGGGACTTCTTCGCGCGAGTTTCGCCCGTGGATCAACGGAAAATCCTCAGCTTTATTACCGCAAGCGATCGTATCCCGGCCATGGGAGCCACAAACCTAGTGATTCGCATCCAGCTAATTCGCGCCAAGGAGGAGATAGATGAATTTGGAAGACCAACGAATAAACCGGTGGAGAGATTTCCTATTGCAAGAACGTGCTTTAACACCCTGAGTCTGTATCGGTATGTGTCGAGGGAGAAGTTGGAGGAGAAGCTCTGGACGGCGGTTCAGGGGAGTGAAGGATTCGGGTTGAAATAAACCTTGTTGTTATGCGCTGGGCTACCGCACGATATGGCGAGACAAGCGGCAGATGCGAAGAACGAAATAGAGCTGGCTCACCATGCCCGCCGTGTTGGATCATGTGTCACGCATTTCTCTGGGATTGTTTCGGGAGCGTCGGCGCTGGTGCGAAAGGCTGAGAGTTGAGGCATTTTAATGGCCCCATGGCATGGCATTGGGAAACGGGCGCGTGGCTTGGAATCTCCGTCAAGGGGAGTGAAGTGAAATTTGGGCTCCCTCGATGGGTTCTTTTTTGGGGGGCGGTGAAACGAGGAGCATTCTTTTGCCCGGCATTGATTTGCATCTTCTTGGTTGCCATTGGGCCAAGAGGGAGGGTAATCAATGAAGGAATGATCGATACCTGTGGCTCTGGATTTCAAGAAAAGGAGAACAATTCGTATTATGAATACGGGAAAGCATAGCGACAGGTGATATTTATCTGCCCTTGGACCCAGAGATACACATATGCATGCATCCATACACGAACGAATCTTCTCCCCGACGACTTAGAAAACCGACAGCGTGTAAAGGGCGGGTTATTACAAATAACACAGGAGGAGGCCCCAACCTCTACTGATGGGCGGCCCAGGAGTGAGTGACGAGTTGATTATCAATCCGTCAGTGTGCTTGTCTCCCGTAAGAGCAAGAACAAGAGCAGCAGCCGCTGAAGACGGTAACTCGCAACTCACTCGCTTATCTTCACGATGCGACCGACGTTGTGCAAACACGAAGCGAATTGAACCGCCGATGACGACGTGCGTCGGATCGTGAAAACAAAGTGAGTGAGTTGCCGTCTTCGGCGCTCTGCTCTTGCTTACGGGAGGCACACTGGTGTTGACTTGGGACAGACAACGACGCGAGTTGAAGTTTCACCGCGGGTCGTCGGATGGCGCAATTAAGCGAGTTATACAGTCTTGGGCGCTGAGGCGCTGAGGCACGACGGCAGAGCGGAGTGGAAGAAACAAGCAAGCCCCTAGGAGACGACGGCAACACGTCCTTGTCCTGACGGACCGGACAGCGTCGTAGTCAGCAACGGGCCAAAATATCACCAATGGCCTTGCAAAAGGATCATTGTTGTCCTTCTCCCCATCCATCCCGCATATCCCTCCCCGCGATGTATTCGCCAACATGTCACGCGACAAGCATAGGAACACGCACCTTGCGGCGACGGTAAAAGATTCAAGCGCATCTCCCCCTCCGGTGGCCTCTAAGCCAAGGGGTTTTCTCGGGGCTTCAAGGAAGGATGAAGGACAGAATCTGACTGACGGCCTGCATTCAAGGCCTCGTTGGTGGCCGCCGCGCAAAGCTGTAGGAAGCTCGCCGCATTTGCAATTGTATATTTTCCGATCATCTGGTCTTTGAAAATAATCAAAACGCACCGTTGAGCCGGAAACAGAGTTCCTTTTGGCGAGCCAGCGAAAATGACCAATGCCAATGGAGCAACAGTCGGCGAAAAGGGACCGAGCAGGAGCTCCAAAGTTTCTGACGCTAGAGTGCAACTTTGATTAACCCCGTGAGACAGGCACCGGTGACAGGCTCCATACACATCTGGAACGCTGCCAGCGGATAATATTTGCTTTTTAGCATCCCAGGCACGAATGGTAACTCCTGCTTCAACATCGTGAACATAGCGGATTCAAGGCTGCACTCACCGACTTACTTGGGGGATGAATCATCTGTCACCGAAATTTTCACAGCGTGCGGTGAGAAGATGTCCGAGGTGCATAGCGGAGACATTAGTGAACAAGCTCGGCGACGGGGAAGCTGGGTTAGACGAGATCTTTGTCGGCGGCCATGGAGGTCTGGCTGTTGCAATGAGATAACACACGGGTGCACGATGATATCTCGGAGGGGCGTGAGATCTTCATGGCCATTTGGTTGGCCATCGGAAAATGTCGAAATAAGTTTCGATCAAGCAGAAACTCGCCCCGCACGCAGCTGCGCTGCCCACGCTATCGTTTTGTTGCCGTTTTGGGTCCGTCTGGTAGCTGTGGCTGGCGGGAGGATCCCCCCTCAACATATTTCTTTTTGAGCAGTTGACCGTCCTTCATATTGCCCGCGTGTAGCTCGTACTTTCTTCTCTGCAATATCTTCTTGACCTCTTTTCATTCTGTTGTGCTGCTGCATCTTTCATAGACCAGAGATCCTAGATCAACATGGGTTCCGCAAGTCTCCCCTCCAAGATGAAGGCCCTGAGTATGACTCCGTCCCATGACTGTGTTGGTTTTCGTTTCCAGAAAGAAGCGGTCAGAGCTGAAGTTTGGCTGGATGATTGCCTGACGTGCGTCTAGAGTACGATGAGCCTGAAAAATTCAGCGTCGTCGAGGTCCCTCTCCCCTCGCTCCGCGAACATGACATCCTGGTACGTAGCTGGTACACCGATCAACAGAAGAGATTGCTGAGAACAAGATGTAGATCAAGGTCAAGGCTTGCGGTGTCTGTGGCACTGACCTGCACATTCACGAGGGTGAATTTTTGGCCAAGGTATGGGCCAAAACCAGCTGGATGACTGCGGGCAAATCTGACCAAAGTTGTAGTTCCCCTTGATCCCTGGCCACGAAACCGTGGGTGTCGTTGCAGCCCTCGGACCGAAAGTCAAGGGGTTCAAAGTTGGTGATCGGGTGGTCGCAGACAACTCGGAACTCTGTGGAGAATGCTTCTACTGCCGTCGCGGGGAGGAGCTTCTCTGCGAAGACTTCCAAGCACACGGTGTGACCATGGACGGTGGCTTCGCCGAGTACTGCGCATACCCTGCCAAGCGCGTGTTCCCGATCAAGAATTTGTCTGATGTCGACGCAACCCTGCTCGAGCCCGCTTCCTGCGCCGCCCACGGTTTGGACAAGATTGCACCCAAGATGGGTTCAAGCGTGCTCATGTTCGGCGCGGGGCCTACTGGTCTCGTCCTGACACAGATGCTCCGCCAGAACGGGGGTTGCCATGTTGTCATTGCCGCGCCGGAGGGACTGAAGATGAACCTCGCCAAGTCCCTGGATGCGGCTGATGAGTATGTTGAACTGTCCCGAAAGGACCCCAGCGCGCAGTTTGAGAAGATCAAGAAAGAGAATCCGTATGGATTCGACATTGTGGTTGAAGCCACGGGCAGCGTCAAGATCCTGGAGGACGCGATCAACTATGTGCGAAGAGGCGGCAAGCTCGTGGTGTATGGCGTGTACGGCAACAAGGACCGCGTGTCGTGGCCGCCGACCAAGATCTTCGGGGACGAAATCACCATCCTTGGATCGTTCAGTGAGACATACAAGTTCCCTGCTGCCATCGACTATCTTGGTATGTATCGTCCATCTCCAGCTCTTTCTAGGGCCCTGTGACTGACAATCGGGTGAACAGATACGGGCAAGGTCAAGGTCAAAGGCATCGTAAACAAGACGTTCAAGTTGGAGCAATGGGCCGAGTGTCTGGAGTCGATGAAGAACAAGAGTGCCATCAAGGCAGCTATTGTCTTTGATTAGAGGAGCGCGTGGCCGATGTAGTTGGCAGGTCTTTCTTTGCAGAAGACGAATTTGTTGGGGGGTTTGTGGTGGTTTAGAAAGCAATTCCCTGGCGGTTGGTAGGAAAGAAAGGTGTGCTGGGTAGGAGAAGGTTGTTGAGACGGTGTGTACGAGGTAGAAATGGTCAAACCACCTTTTTGGTTCATGTACCGAACACTTGGGTACTCGGTAATAGACGCTTGACGCCGTTACGCTGTGACGCTGTGACGCTTTGGCCCCCCGCGTTGTCCTGCCGTCTTTCCGTTGTGTGACTGTCCTTTGCCCGCCTCTCGCCTCTTCGCCCAATTCGAGCAGCAAGCAACAATCATTGCTACCAACCTGCTTTCGCTCACACACACACACACACACACACACACACACACACACAC